CACTAGAAAAATAAGTAATACAAACTGATGCTGATTACATAAACATCACAGTAGACTTCTTTAAAAACTTTCCTCCCTCTTGGAGGTCTGATGAGAAAAAATCCTCAAGTGTATATTTTTATACACTGGATTTCGGTATCCATTTTGCTTTCAGAGAAGTAAAGAGCTGCTCACCTGTTGTACTTGCTACACCTGTAGGGTAGTTTATGCCTGGCAACCTTATCAGTATTGTAAAATACAATAACGTTGTCCCAGGTCAACAGCGGTTTATTTAATGAAGGATTGCTGGTCACCAGTGAATTCTTTTGAGGAAGCAGACTCACCCACTGAAAAAGGCTCAGACTTAGCTAATCTTTTTGGTATCAAACTTTAAAAGCACATATTGATTTGATTCACATACATAGTTCTTTCATTCTGTCATAATGTACTCCTGTGTTAGAGAAATTACACTCTCCCCCTCTTTTTACTAGGTTTATCTGCCATTTTATTTCTATCTTTAGCTGAAGAATCATTTTAAACACAGACTTCTGGAAATATTCCTGTTAGCCCCATAGGTCCTAGGAAGTAAATTCCTGCAGATACAAGATACAGACAATAAGTGGAGATTGGCAGCCTTTGCCTATGACAAGGAATACCACTGGTGAGTTCTCCTGTCAGGAACTGCTTTCTCCAGAACCCCACATTGACATTATCTGCCTCAACAATTACAATCATCTACTAACAGGACATCCTGAAATTAAACTTACTCTAGATCATCAATCTTGCAGAACACACCTAGTGCAGGTAGCTTGGAGTGCAAGCTGCAGGTTGTGCTCTGGCTGGTGGGAAACAGCTGCAGCCCCAAGCAATGAACTGTGCTGGGGCACTGACCTTCTGCCTAACAAAGGGCACAGCCCTGGAATGCCAGCCACCACACAGAGCCTCTGCAGTGAGAAGAGCCCAGGATAAATAAAACCATCGGACCAAGAGGCACATGAAAAGGACATGAAGGGTGTGTGAATAGAATGTGCAATGACTGCAAGGGTCAGGGGTTTCTTTTTTCAGAGTCCAGGATTATTTAATCCTGGAGCACCCAGATCGTGCTCTTATTTTGTTGCTTCTCCACAATTATTACTTGGAGGAATCAGAGGTCTCTGCTATGGGAACCCAGGGTCAAGCCAGGAACAGAAACATGTCAGACAGTGAGGGTGTGAGGTGTGGAGAGAGTCAAACAGGGCACCGCTGGTTCACTGGAACCACTCACTGCAAAGGAGCTTTGGTCCCAGCAGTTAAAATCTTGGATGGTGTGACTCCAACTTCCAGACTGACATCTGAATGGTCACACAAGAAAATGGCTTTAGCAATCAGAATATGTCTGTATTGTCCATATTTGAAACCTCATTTTGAATAAAACTCAACCAAAACCAGCTCAGCTAACAAGGAAAGATGCTCTGCTAGATTTTATATTCACCAATAACTAGGAGCTTTTTGGAAATGTGAATCTGAAAGTGTCATGAATGAGTGTCTTAAGATCTCTTTGTGATTGAGTGTTTCAAGAACAGCATTGCCTGCAGTGATCAAGTAATTGTGGAGCTTAGGCCCCTGAGGCCAGTGAAAAGGGTAAAAAGCAAGATAATAACCCTAGACTTCAGGAGAGCAGATTCTGGCCTGTCCAAAGATCTGCTTGGAAGGGTCATATGGGATGATCTTCTGAAGAGAAGACAGGCCCAAGTTAGCTGGTTAATGTTCGAGGGTTGCCTCCTCCAAACTCAAGAGCAGTGCCTCCAGGTAAAAATGACAGGAGGCCTACATCATCATGGAGCTTCTGGCCAAACTCAAACACAGAAAGGAAGCATCTAAAAGGTGGAAGCAAGGACAGATAAATGTAGAGGAATACAGAAACACTGTTCAAACATCCAAGAAGGGAATTAGGACAGGATGTCAAGGATGTCAAAGACTCACCAAGAAGGGTGAGTACTTTTAATAGGCATATGAGTACATAGGTGGTGAAAAGGTGAGGGTCTGTTGCCCGAAAGGACCTGGTTATGCAAGACATGGAAAAGACTGAATTGCTGAATGATGCTCAGTCTTCACTAGAGAGGATGGCCTCTGGAGTTCTCAGATTGCAGAGACCATAGCAGAAGTTTGGAGCAAGCGAGATGTACCCTTTTTGGAAGAGAATCATGTCAGGTAATACTCAACTAAACTGGACTTACAGAAGTTCCACATGCTGTGGCATCATTGTGATACCACTCCCAAAAATCCTTGATTGTGGCAACTGGAAGTGTCTGATTTCTGAAAACTGGAAGAGCTGGGGCTGTTCAGCTGGACAAAAGAAAGCTGAAGGGAATCTTATCAATGGATACAAACATCCCAAAGAAAGGTACAAAGAAGATGGAGCCAGGCTCAGTGACGTTCAGTGACAGGCCTAAAGGCAATGAAAAACTGAAACACTGAAGGGTTCCTCTTATCAGGGAATACTTTTGTGTTGTAAGGTTGACTAAGCACTGGTACAGACTGCCAAGGGAGGTTATGGAGTCTCCATTTTTGGAGATATTCAAAAACCATGAGGACATGATCCAGACCAACACTCTAGGTGGCCCTGCTTGATCAGGAGTGCTGGACTAGATGACCTCAAGACATTTCTTCCAGTGCCAGTCAGTCTTTGATTCTCTCATTCTGAGAAATACAATGCAGAGGTTTGGATCTCCTCCTGACCTATGTAAGTGATTTTGGATACCAAAATAGGATTCATTGTTCTCGTAAGACTGTGCTTCCCACCCAGACTGGAAAGGCAGAAACAACTTTTTTTCAGGCTCCATTGGTACTTCAATTTCTCAGGTAAAACAAGAAAGTGCAGTAAGTGATGCGACTGATAATAAAAAGTCAAAATTAAAAATAAAAATAAATATTAGCACAAAAATGTAGACCTAAATAATGCTAGGCTTCAAACTTACATGTGTGTGTCCTAACTAAAGAAGTCCTTACTTCCCAGTACAGAATTGCCTGGGTCATGAAGAAGCAGTGCTTCCCTGAGAAAAGTGAGGAAGGACATGGCATCATGTTTAGATTTTTCGAGGTGGTATGAAGACTCCTGTGGTTTGCACTCCACAGTGTAAAATACATTTATATGCTACCAGAGGATTTGTAATTGTGAACTGTACACAGGATTAATAATCACTAAAGAAATACTGTTGACATAATAAGGGTTAATGACAGTATGAAATCTCATATTAATTTTATAGCAATTATAACTTTAAGAATGGTTTTAACATTTTAAAGCAGAAAAGCTGGTTACTTTAACACATGATCATTGCGGGTCCCTTCTAGTTCAGAATATTCTTTTCCTCCCTTTTGCTGAGCTATTGTGTTTATACAACATTAGCACTTAACGCTCCTATTACCACAAATGCATTCTTCAGCACAGTGTTACATCCAGTATGTTAGAAATAGTGCCAAACA